CCATCAACAGATGAATGGATAAAGAAAATGTAGAATTTATACACAATAGAGCACTATTCTGTCATAAAGAATAAATCTGAGTCATTTGTAGGAAAATTAATGCACCTTGAGATCATAATGTTACATGAAATAAATTAGACACCCAAGCTTAGACAGGCAAAAGGGAAGGGGACCATGAGATGGCAGACATGAGAAAGAAACACATGTTATGTACATGTATCAATTCCCCAAAATGAATATAATCATTATGTATTGTAAGCATTTACTAATAAAATTTCTAAAAAATTAAAAATCATTCACCATGATCAAGTTGGTTTCATTCCAGTAATATAAGTACAGTATGGTTCAATATATGCAAATCAATAAACATAATACAATATAGAGAAGCAAGGATAAAAAAAGTCACACTATCATCTAAACTGATACAGAAAAGCCTTACACTCCAACAACCTTTTCTGATAAAAGCCCTGAAGAAATGGCATTAAAAAAAATCATCCCTCAATATAGTAAAGATCATATCAGACAAACCTACAGTTAACATCATTCTGAATGGGAAAAAAACAGGAATGAGGCAAAGATGTTCACTGTCACCCTCCTGTTCAATATGAAATTTAAACTACGGTAAAATTAAGCAAGAAAAAGCGGTAAGAAGGATACAAATAGGAAAGGAAGAAGCCAAATTACTCATTTCCAAATATGATCCTATACTTAGAAGATCCTAAAGAGTCCACCAAAAGAATTTTAAAGCTCATAAACTCAGCCAAGTAAAACCAACATTAAAGAATCAATAGTGATGAGCATAGAGACACATGCCTGTAATCAGCATCCAGGAGGTTGAGGCAGGTGGATTGCCTCAAGCTTGAGGCCAGCCTGGGCTAAACAGTGAGTTCAAATCCAGCCTGACCTACCTACAGATTGAGACCTTGTCCCAAAAACAGAAAACAAAAACCCCCAAACCTTCAGCTCATCTATATATCAATAATGACCCAGCAGAGAAAGAAATCAGAAAACAATTCTGTTTACAACAGCTTCAAAAAAACAAACCACCAAGGAAATGAAAGATTTCTAATAATAAAATTTCAGAACACTGAAGAAAGAAGTTGAAAAAGAAACTAGGTGATGCAAAGACCATTTATGTTCATAAATTAGCAGAATTAATATTGTTAAAATACACCTCCAAAAGCAACTGAACCCTACCTAGGGCCAACAAAATACCAATGACACTCTTCAATGAACTGGGGGAAGAATCTTAAAATTCATATGATAGGGGCTGGGGATTTAGCTCAGTGGTATAAGAACCTGCCCTGAAAGCAGGCGGTCGTGAGTTCGATCCTTGATACGGATAAAAAAAAAAAATTCATATGATAGCACAAAAGATCCAAAAGAGCGAATGCAATCCTAATGAAAAAGAACAAGACTGGAGACATCACAATACCTGATTTCAAATTATACTACAAGCCAGAGTGAAAATAAAAACAAAAAACCAGTATGTTGCTGATACAAAAGCAGACATACTGATCAACCAAACAGAACTCAGGACAAAGAAAGAAATCAACACAACTACAGCCATCAGATTCTGGATAAAAATATACCCTGGAGAAAAGACAGTCAATTGGTGCTGGGAAAACTGGGTATCCTTAGAGAAGATTGAGACTATCTCTCACCCTGTACAAAAAAATCAATTTAGAATGCATCAAAGACTAGTTGCAAGACCCACAACTTTGAAACTGCAAGAAAACAGAGAAATAGCTAAATCCATAGGTATAAGTGAAGATTTTACTAGGAATTCAATAGCAATAGTAAGAATCAATAAATGAGGCTACATCAAATTAAAACATTTTTGCACAGCAAAGGAAACTACCAACACAGTGAAGAGATAGCCTGTAGAATCTTTCCCCACTACGTGTCCACAAAGGATTATTATAATAGCTAGAACATGTAAGGAACTAAAAAAACAAAACAAAACAAAATGAAACAGCAAATAATCCAATAATAAGTGAGTAAAAAACTGAACAGACACATCAAAAAGATGAAGTATGAAAGGCCAATAAGTATACCAAAAAATGTTTACCACCATTAGGAAAATGCTAACCAAATCCACATTAAGCATCTATCTCGCCCCAGTCAGAATGACTATCATCAAGAATACAAAGAACAAGCCAGGTGTGGTGGTGCACTCCTGTAATTCCAGCACTTGGGAGGATGAGGCAGGAGAATCATGGGTTATGTCTGAGACCAGCCTGGGCCACAAAGTGAGCCAAGGTCAGCCTGAACTGTGTAGCAAGATTCTGTCTCAAAAAGGCAAAAACAGAACAGAACAGAACAGAACAAAATGACTACAAACAACAGTAAATGCTGGCAAGAATGTAGTGGAAAAAGGAACGCTTCTACACTACTGGTAAGAGCACAAATTAGTACAGCCACTATGGAAATCATGAAGATTCCCCAAAGAACTAAACACAGAGCTACCATTTGATCCAGCTATTCTACTCCTAGGTATACACTCAAACTCAAAGAGTACCACAGAACAGCAGTGACAAATCTTTGGCACATATGCCACATGCCCTCTCTAGCACCATCTGAGCCAAATGGCCTCAGGGTCACCACAGTAGCAAAGCATTTAGGTTTCACTGAAATACTGGGACTTTGCGATAAGTGAGTGAGTTCTGGGTTGTAGTCTGGGTGCTCAGTCTCTCAAAAGTTCACCATCATCTTAAGAGATACCTGTATATCCATGTTTACTGCGGCACAATATACAATGGCTAAGGTATGGATCTGGCCAGGGCTCATCAACAGATGAATGGATAAAGAAAATATTATATACACACGATGGAGTATTACTCAGACATGAAAAAAATTAAATTTTGTTAGTTGCAGAAAAATGGATGTATCTAGAGTTCACCAGGTTATATTCATAAAGACAAGTATCACATGTTCTCCCTAATATGTAGGATATAATTACTGTAAGAGACTACTACTAGTTAAGAGGAAGGGAATATGGGGCGGAAGGTGGTGTGAGGACTAATAATGGGGCAATAAATAAAATCAAAATACATTACACACATTGACTCCCCCACCAAAATATGATCCCAGTGGGGAGAGTGGCGTAAGGGCAGTGACGGGGGCAATGACTATATATGCATGTATAAATCTGCCAAAATGAAACCCATTAACCTGCATAACCAATATACATAAATAAGAAATACAGAAAAATATATTCCTTTGCTCAAAAAGAATATTTAAAAAATAGCCTGATGACATAGAACAGTTTAAAGGCCCTGGGTTCAGTTTTCAGTACAACAACAACAAAAACACAAAGGTTCTGGAATAAAGGGAATTATCTACAGAAGCCCTGTGGCAATCAAATTTTTATAAAAGCCTGTGTAAAAAGACTCTTAAGTTTGCCTTTTTTTTTTTCTTTTTTGCAATACTGTGGATTGAACTCAGGATCTTAGGACTGAGCTGTATCTCCACAGTCTTTTTTGGGGGGACACGGTCTTGCTAAGTCACTGAATAGCCCAAACCAGGCTCAAATTTGTGATCCTCCTGTCTACTGTCTCTTAATGTGCTATGATTACAGGAATGTGCCACATTACTGGGCTTCAAGAAACTTAACAGAATTTCCTTCAAAGAGGCTAACTGGAACCACAAATCACTCTTCAAGAACACTACAACCTCAGGACAAAAGCACTGTGTGGGATCTGCAACCAGGCTTGGAAAACGAAGTTTTATGCCAAATGTGTCAGAGCCTTTAAAACCTGAGCAAGTTTCTCCATGTAGATCTACATCCAAAGAAAAGCTACACATGCAAACACCATAGCTTGCCTAATAAGAGTACAATCCCTTGAAGTGACAGAGATTCTACAGAAATCACCTAGTTTGAAATGTAGCAACTCTGGTTCCAAAGGTTCAGAGGCACCTGACAAAGAAACCAAAGAAGAGATGCATATTTAGGTTCTAAAAGTGTTTCAGTCTTTAGGGTAAAGAAGCAAGTTTGCAGAAAGATCATTAAGAGAAGACTGCAGGTAACATTTTTTTAACATTTACAATCATCGTATGAGTTCCTGACTGGGACTCTGCGAGGCATGGCTGAAATATAGTTTCCAGGCCTGTGTGAGACTGAGGTAGGGGGACAGAGTTTGAAACCAGCTTGGGAAATTCAGCAAGCCTGTTTTAAGAGGATAAGGGTACCACAGGGCTCCAGGACTGCAAAACAAAGTGAAGGTGTTTCCTAAGAAGTTTAACTGCAGCACTCCAAATAAAGATTTGGTATTATCTGGTAACTATGCTTAATCTATGAATCCACAGTTCTAGGACTCTTAACTTGTGTATTGTGGAAATTCAAGCACTTTTGCACTGGAGTCCAGGTACAAGAACGTTTGCAGCACTGTTCTGAGTGGCCCTAAACTGTAACAAACACACATCAACAGTAAAATGTGCACACACTAATATATTCACTCAATACAGTATCAGACTACAATGAAAATTATCTATACAGATACACAAATTTCATAGTAAAGAGGTTATAAAATACAATATTTCCAATTCAAAACCACCCTCCCCCATTATATAGCACATATTACAGTATGCGATAAAGCTGTAAAGAAAGCAAAAAGTGATTACCACAAAACTTAGTAGTGAGGAAACTTAATCAGCAAAGAACACCAGGTGGGAGATTTCCTGGGAAGCTAGCAAGGCTTTTTCGTTTTTATCTGATTGTTTTATATTGTTCCTTATGTAGGTGAATATACTTTGCTTTGTACATGCCGTACCTCTTTAAAATGTATCAGTAAACCTGCAGATTGCTGTTTCTATCAAGGCGACACCTACACAATGACTGACTTCGCCATTAAGAGAAACCAACTTCAAACACTAGGAGAAACAGGCCCTTAGACTCACTGATGTCCTTACGGCTGGAGAACTGGCGTCTCCTGGGTAGGCGAACCTTTCAGAGCTTTCAATGAGCACAAATCGCCCGCTGCAACACGCGTGCCACTCACCACCACAAAAACGCCAAATAGCTTCCAGAGAGGCGAGGCTCCAAGAGTCCCAAGAAGGGTAGGTGCGCTGGCTCGCCGCCGCTAGCCCTCCTGGAACCACCAAGGTCCTCGGTCCTTCCGCCGTCATGGGCGACCCCACAAGCGCACCCCGGAACCTAGCCGTGCGCAACCTCGCCCCAAGAGCCCCGGGTCGTTCCCAGGGACCCGGGCGCCCCGCCCACGCTGGGCCCCCTCCGCACCTCCCGGACGGCCGAGCTCGCAGCCAGCGGAGGCGCGTACCTCTACACTGCAGAGGACACCTCCCAACGCCGGATGACCAAGAACGGCGACGGTGTCCGGGATCTGCCCCGCCAGCACTCCACGGCCACTGCCTCCTTGATTTCAATTTGGAGTGCCGGCGTAGGCGCACGCGCACTCGGCGCTTCCGTGCGGTGCGAGCGGACGGCGTGCTGGCGAGCCGGCGACGGGGCAGATCCCGTGCGTGCGCGTGCGCGTCAGACACCCAGCGGGCGGGCCCGGGCGCGCTGGTGCGCAGATACTCGCTCGCCGGCCGCGCTCTCGGCGGGTCGCGCTTCCACAGCCGGTGTGGGCTGTCGGGGCGGGACGCGGGCAGCGGGCGTGGCCGGGCGCACGGCCCGAGCGGAGAAGGGAGGCACGCGGTGAGGGTGCGGGAGTCGCGGCCGGAGCGGGGCAAGGCGGCGGTGGGCTGAGGAGCAGGTGGGCACCGGGCCAGCCCGGCGCCAGTCCCTGCCAACTACCCCAGGCCGAGCGCGGCGTTTCCGGCTGGCGGGGCGGCGCTCAGACCCCAGCGCAGGAAGATGTTCAACGTGGAGTCGGTGGAGCGGGTAGAGCTGTGCGAAAGCCTTCTCACTTGGGTACGTGGTAGCGGGGGGGGGGGGGGGGGCGGAGACCGACCCCTCCCTGGGGCCGCGCTTCGGGGTACCGCAAACTATCTCTGCGGGCGGGTGCCTCTGGTGACTGGGCCCTCACATCCGGGCTCTTCCGGGATCTTGGGCCGGGCTTATCGGTGGACGCTAGCGCGGCCCGCGTCTACACCCGCAGTCGGACTGGGCCGGGATTGCGAGCCGCGCAGGGTTGGGTGCAGGCGCCGCCCAGGGTCTGAGCGAAACTTGCTGGGCTTGAGGGGTTGGCAGTTCCGCAAAGGAAACCGGCCCGGCCAAGGCTAATGATGGGGTGCAAGCGACACTGTAATCGTTGTTCGTCGCCGGTCCTCTTGAGCTTCCAGGGACACCAAAGCGTTGTTTCTCCTGCATCGCGACGCGGCCGGTAGAGGCAGTCTTAACCCCTGGTTATTATGCTCATTGCCTTTGTTGTAACGTCCGCGAAGGATGAAACGTAGCCCCTTGTGGGATGCGCTGTGCCCACCATGGAAGAAAAGAGAAGAAAATAGGTGGGACGGGGGAGTAGGAAAAATACGAACAGGCGGCATGGGGTAGACTATTTTAAAACGCAAGATGCATTTTGGCTATTAGAACGTAAGCAAGGTGAAAGAACTTATAAAAGGCGTCAAAGATGAAACTTTAAGACAAAGATATTTAGAAAAGCAGTAATGGAACTCCAAAATATTTTGGAGAGATATTTTCGGAATTCTGATTTGAAATGATTACACAGTTGTCAGGTTCTAACATTTTAAACAAATTTTTAATTTATTTTGGAGACAGGGTCTCACTGTACACTGTGTCCAGGCTAAACTTGGGCTCGCAATCGTCCTCTCCTGCCTGGGCCTTCCAAGTGCTGAGATTACAGTCATGTGCCACCAAGCCTGGCAGGTCTAACATTTTAAAATCTGCTTTGGATTCTGATGTCAACAGTAGCACTTTAAGACCTGGACAGTAAACTTACATTTGTATGTAACGCAAACTGTTTGGGTCATGGGGTGGGGATGCAGAGTACGCAGAGCCATGAGTTTAAACCAAGTGCTCCTTTGGGGCCCATTTGTTTTACTTGTTGCTTAAAATATTAAATAAATGCCCCTTGGAAAAATCTTTTTGAGTGCTAGAGATTGAACACAGACAAGTTAAATCATTTTCTCTGCCTCTGATCTGCACCTCTTGGCCTTTCATATTTTAAAGTGAAAACATGTATGTGAAAGAAATTTTGTTTACCAGTGCCTTGGGTTACATCTCTGGTTACAAGTTCAGTTCACTCTCCCCGCTGCAGAAAAGCACTTTGCTGGACAGGTTTGAGAAGCATCACCTTTGGTTGGTTGTAGCAAATGTAATTTTTGAAAAAGTCTTGAGGTTTTTGTTACATGGATAGGTCGCAAATAAAATTGTCTCCTGAAACTTAAAATATATGTAATGGTAGAGCTTGATCTGTTATATTAGATCGTTCTTGGGATTTCAGGTTATTCACATTTATCCAACCAAGACAACCAACTTGAATAGGTTCTAACTTAAGGGACGGAAATAGAAGCTGTGTTTCAGAAGAGATGATGCAAGGTTTGACAAGAGGGGGTACTTTGTGTTTTATGGAAGGAACAGATCTGGGAGAGGCTGTAGGCAGAAAGCTGAGGCTCTTCAGTACTGCATTATTGGATCTGTACAGTGGTGCCTTGCTCAATGCTAGAAAAAAGGAAAAGAAGGCAAAGATAACTCTTGAATTGTTACATTGTTTAAAGTCTAGAAAGAAAAGTCATAGAAATAGATGTGTTTGAAGAGCAGCTGGAAAATGGTGATGGTGCAGTTATTTGAGTGAGAATGCTAAAGAATAGTAGAGGAAAAATCACAGAGGGAAATTTGAAGGGTTTATAACAGAAAATAGGGAATTTATTTAGAACTAGTTGCAAAATCCAGAAGCAAGAATAATCCACTTTATTAGCTGCAAAAGACAGATGGTATGGTCTTATAAAATAGGCTTTCTGAAATAATGACTGGAAACCGTTATCAAAGAAAATTTCTGGAGATTAGAGATTATTGAAGACAAAACTGGAGGGCTGGTTCTATACAATGATATACGATTCTCAGATTTGGAAACATTTGAAATCATTGAAATGTTTGAAAATTGAGTTGACTTAAGTACTTTTTCTCTTGGCTGTCATTAAAAGAATAAATATTTATATGAATAGTATTTGAGATAGTTGAGCATTTGTGTTTTCGTCTAGTAGTGCTCTTTTTGTCTAGAGATCAGATAAATGCTGAACACAATTCCAAAGCCAAATATAAGGAAAAATGTATACAGTACACCTCCAAAGTGAAGATTCTTCATTTAGAATAATTTGCTCTATTTTAAGTAAACTCATTCAATTTGGTTGTGGAGGGGTTTTTTTGTTTTGTTTTGTTTTCTGTTTTTTTTTTTTTTTTTTCTTTAGCACATGGTAGGAAGGTAACTGCAGCACTCAGCAAAAATACAGACAGCTGTCAATGACAGAGAAGACCCACGTGGTGAAGTTTAATCAGGGTGACTCAGTCTTTGGCTGCCAGCTGACTATGTCTCTGGAGCTTCCATATTCAGTTATAGAGAGTGTCATACTTAACAATCCTGAACAGGAAATAGAAGTTTATTTCACTGTACAACATTCAGTTTGGGACAGGAGAACTGTGTATAGTACATTTTAGACATTCTTCCACTGTAAGTGGCTAAAATAATGAAAGCTTAGATGCATAAAAGGGATGACTCTTAAGTCACTTGTGTAGAATTCAGTCCTCTGGAACTGTATCTTTTACCCCAAATAATGTTCAATAAATTGCCAGAGCCTGAAATGTTATTTTAGATTTTTGTTGAAAGAGGAGTACTACAAATAGACAAAGTAATCCTGCAAATGGAATGCATCTCAAGCTTCAGTTCTCCATCAGTGTATGTGGTTAAGCTGGTTCAGCCTGATGTGCTTAAACATTTCCATTGAACTTATGCTCCCACCTTCTGAATCAGAATTTATTTCTACTTGTTAAGAAAAGTCTGTCTTGCCTGTTAAATGTTGAAATCTAATTTCTTGAATTATAACAATCTCAGTGAAAAGATTGCACTTTCACATGGTTTATTTTCTTTATTTTGCACGGCTGGCGATTGAACCTAAGGTCTTCTGTGTGCTAAGCCCTACTGCTAAGATAAATTTCTGGCCAAGTTGTTTTTGTGGTTGTTTGTTTTTTGGCTTTTGAGACAGGGTCTCATTATGCAGTTCAGACTGGCCTTGAACTGACTTTGTAGCCCAGGCTGATCTTGGATTTGTAGTGATCCTCTTGCCTCAGCCTCCTGAGTGCTGGGATTACATGTGTGCCACCATGTCCATCTTCCACGAGCCAAGCTTTAACCAGGTTTTAGAAACTGAAAAACAAAATATAGAATGCTACCGGTTCATGAGAAGAAGCTAAGTGGAAAAAGCATTATCATATAGGATTAGTGCACTTGTGAGAGAAACCAACAACCTTAACATACCCTAATGATTTTCATACTATTTATTTGGGAGCCTATAAAATGCATGCTAGTATATAGAAGTGTGAGTGATACAATTATGGTGGTATCCCATGCGATTCTCTCGACTCTACCTAACTCTATCCTGCCAATAGAGCTGATTTTTCTAGTAGATTAACAAAGAAATCTCTCATGTATAAAGGTTTTAGTACTTTAAAAAAGTGTCAGTAAAGCATGATGGTTCAAAGTACAGCTTCTAAACTTGAATACCTGGGTTGAGTTGCTGATTTTATTTCAGACTACACTTCTTTGTAAGAATTGTGTTCATGTTTGCTACTAAGATTGCTAACCCTGCCAGTGGGTCTCATGCACTTACATTGATGGCATTATCTTTACTTGAAACATGGATTGCTGGGTGTGGAGCCAGGGTTTCTTATTTCTTCAGTTTGGAGCGTAGCCTGAAAATTTGCCTTCCTGTTGCATTTTCAGGTGATTTGACCTGGGGACCACATTTGGAAAACCACTTCTCCAGGTCAGGGTTTTTACGCTTATCACCATTTGACATTTTGGGCTGGATAATTAACTGTTGTGAGTGCTATAGTGTATATTGTAGGACATTTATTAGTAACACAGCTTATAAATCTAGCTAGTAAACGTTGATACCTCTAACAGTTAAAAAAGTCTACTAAGGAGTAAAATCATCCCTGGTTAAAAACCACTGTAATGACCTTGCTAATTCCAGAAGTTCTCACGATTACTACTCATACTTTTTTGTTGGGGAAGGGGAAGCGTAAATTGGGTGGTATTGATAAAGCTTTTTGGAATTACAGCTTGTGTAATGTGTGAAGGTTGTGACTCTTCAGGTAGAATTGTGTGCCTTAATGAAGTTAAGTGCATTTATCTTCAAATTATACTGTATTGCTTTCCTAAAATGCTTGGTAGATAGCTCAGTGAATTGATAGGTGATAGATGTTTTTGAAATTGAGATAACTGACATGGCATATACTTCATTCCTTGAAAGTGTGCAGTTCTCTGGTTTTTGGTAGAGTCACAGGTTGTGCTATAATCCATGTGAAAATCTTCATGGTCCTCTCAAAGCACAGGTGGATGTTGTCTAGCCTTTATAGATAACTATGTCTCAAGGGCTAATACAAGAAAATAATTGCTTTGAAGCACCTATTAAAATCAGAAATGAAAATTTAGCTTTCTCTGACTGTTAAGAAAAACACATTTAGTCATAGAACTAAATTACCCTTTAAATTACTTTACTGAAGTGTTTTTCTGATTAGCCAGAGGCAGTTTTCTGATTTTTCTTCCTGGTGCGGATGTAGTGAGCTAGAGTGTAAAGGCCTAGATTGAATCATTTGCATTTTAGGGGTAGGGGATGATCATCTTCTGTTCGTTTCATTTGGTAGTGCTTTGGATGAGGAAATTCCAAATGCTAAACCAGCACTCAGCTACATAAGAATTATTTGATGAACTTGTTAAATAGATTTCCATGTCATGTGCAGGAAGCCACAATGGGGCAGACCCATGCCTTTCCTGTCAGCGCCATTCTGCCATCCCCAGACTGTGGGGGGTGAGCACAAAGACTCACCTCTTTGAGAATCAGTGTCCTGTACTGATGCTGCCAGTGGGGGGACACACAGACCCCAGCCCTTCCAGCAAGCACCCTCCACCCTACCCCCAATCTCCAACCCCCGATAATGACAGACTGATGCAGAGAAACAGATACGATAGCTGTTGAGAGGATAGCAGTTTGCAGTGTGGCATCTAAGAAGGGAATCCCTTCTGAAGGTGGTAGTCATTGTTAATTCCCTGTTGTCTTGTTTTGAAGTCCTGTTTCATTTCCTGTTTTCTTGGTTTGAGTTTTGTTCTTTTTTTGTTTTGTTTTGATTTTGTTGTATCCAATAGCATTGGCAGCTGTTTCAAAGATAGCAAGATACATTATGGTAGCCATTTTGAGTTTACAATTGTCTTGTTTTGAAGTCTTTTTTTTTTTTTTTTTGCATTCATTGTTTTGTTTTTATTGGTTCTATTCTATTTTGTTCTGTTGGATTTTTACTGTGTCTGAAGGTATCTGCAGCTATTTTGAAGACAACAGGAGGCATTATGGTAACTATTGTTGATTTCATATTATTTTGAAGTCCTGTATCACTTACACTGGTTTGTTTCAATTGATTTTATTCTGTTCGATTTTCCTTGGTTTTATCTTATTTAAAAAAGAAAGATACCCCCAGTTGAGCATGGTATCGCACTACAGAGTACCAATAATTGGGAGCTGAGGCAGGAGAATTACCATGAGTTTGAGGCTAGCCTGAACTATGTAGTGAGACCTTGTAAATAAAACAAAACAAAAAATAAATTTCCAGCTCCCTGTGCACCAATGTACAGAGATTCTGATTCCGTAGGTGGAGCTAAAAAATGCATATTTTGAAAATCAGAATTTTCCAAATGATTCTCATGCATACCTATGTATGTTTTCAGAATAGCTAATATGTGCTCTTTCCTCCTTCCATCCTAAGGTATTTTTCTCCATTTTTATATAGGAAAGTTAATACTAAGAGAGATGAGGTTAGCACAGCCTGATGATACATGCCTGTAATCCTAGCACTGTGGGAGGCTTAAGTAGGCGTTTCACAGGCTCAGGCCCAGCCTAGGCAACTTAGTGATTTATGGAGACCTTGTCTCTAAAGGGCAGGGATATAGCTCAATTAAAAAGCCTGGGTTCAATCAGTGCCCCCCTCACAGCCCCTAATGAGGTGAGATATCTGTGATTACATGACAAATTAGAAATAAGATGGGGAATTAGAATTCATTGGGTTCACAGAAGTATTCATTGGGGCTTATTCTGTCTGTGGCCTTGGAGTATGGTTAGTGTGAGATGAAAGAGAGTTGTCCATCACTGCTTTTTCCCTCTAGTCAAATCTCTAATGGCATGACAATTTTAAAATAAGGGTCCATTAATTTAGCAGCTATAAAAATGAAAGCAGGTACTTTATTTCTTGGAAAATTATGAGGAGGCAGCTCCATATAGAATGAAGTCCCAAATCAGTTCTAATAGATGATGGTTGTTTCTTCCATTTGTGCATCTATTCCTTTTTTTTTTTTTTTTTTTTTTTTTTTGTCTTTTTTGAGACAGGGTCTCACTATGCCGTTCAGGCTGGGCTTGAGCTCATTTTGTACCCCCACTGCTCTTGAACTCAAGGACACAAGGACACAAGGATCCTTCTGCCTCAGCCTCCCAAGTGCTGGGATTACAGGTGGCTGCTTTTTCTTTTTCTTTTTTTTTTTTTTTAATTCTTGCTAATTTGTCCAGGTGTCCCTCAGACTCAGGCTTCCAGGTAGCTGGAACTTAAAGATGTATGCCACATGCCTGAATTACTATTAATTTTTTTATTGAATTTATACTTATTTTAGTTGAGACCTTACTTATCACATCTCTCAAAATATTTACCTAAGTAAAAAGTATCTTTTATGAGGACTTTTTCTTTTTTTGGTAAGGGAGAGTGAGCCCAAAATGTTTCACCACTGGCTACATCCCTACCCCTTTTTCTTTCTTTCTTTCTTTTTTTTTTGGCTTTTTCGTTTTTTACTGGTACCAGGGATCGAATTCACGACTGCCTGCTTTCGAGGCAGGCGCTTACCGCTGAGCTAAATCCCCAGCCCCGCCCCTTTTTATTTTGAGACAGTGTCTCACTAAGTTTCCTAGGCTGGTCCCAAATTTTAAATCCTTCCACTTCTCCCTCCTGAGTAGCTAGGATTATAAAAGCATGCAGTGCTACACCTGCTTGTGAAACTTTAGGATAATTCCCTTGGCGTCTGCCATCATAACTGTCATTATCCATAAGACTCTAGTATGTAAATTATGAGGAGATGATATTTGGCAATATTTATCAAAAGTTTGAAAGTATGTGTACATTTCAACAGAGCATTGCTCTTTTTTCTTCCCCCTAACGCAATAAATGAAATGTTTGGAGATTTAGCTCAGTGGCACAAGCGCCTGCCTGGCAAATGCGAGGTCATGAGTTTGATCTCCGGTATCAATCAATCAATAAATAAATGAAAAAGACACATTAACTTCATCTGTGTTTACATAGGTAGTGGGGTCCTCCTACCTTTGCCTCCATATTAGAACCAGTATAATTTTTATTCAGTACAGATCTCATAACCTCACTTTCCTGTTTAAAATCTTTTGCATTGGTGCTTCTCCCTATCCAACCTCTCGATGCAACTCTCATCACCCCCTATATATACCAGATGGACCTATGTGTAATTCTAGATTGTATCACATTCTTACTTTTAATCTTTGTGCTTGCTATTGTTGGAATACTGTTTCACTAAACTGTAAGGTCTGTCTGTGAGGGGAAAGCCTGTGTCTGTTTATTTGTTGTAATTTCCTTCTAAATTCAGATTGAACTACTGGATAATTATCAGTGTTTGCTGAGCTATATTTCCTTAAATTTTTCAGCCACATTGTATTTGACAAGTGCAAAGTTCTGCTTTAGAATATATTTAAAAACAGAATGAATGTGAATATCCAACCTAACCATAGTAAATATGATTTCTACATCTATATAAATATACTTGAGCTCTGAATAACAGAAATCCCAACTTATCTAGTCTTAAACAGTAGAGTGATATATCTCATGAAATAGAAAGCTTCAAGCTTTTTAATTTCAGTGGTTCCATTTTTATCTCAAAGATTTAATTTTGTCTCTTCTCCTGACCTGATCAAACTGCCTCATTCCATAGTAGGTGTTAAGGTGACTGCTTACAGCAATTGAGGCAGCACAGCCTTACTTACATGAAGAGATGGACTTTTGGGTCCCAGAAGCATCTTGCTGAGTTTCTTTGGTCTACCTTTTTTTCTTCCCTGTTTATATCACTGAGTTAGTTATTGGTAGAAGGGCTAGTGACCATAATTTTCTTAGATATCCTTGAGTAGAATTGTTGGTGTAAAGTCATCTGGTATCTACCAGTTTTCTTTCAGAAATTTTACTGATTATCTGCTTCTGGTAAGAAGTTTCCAATTGTTTTCTTTTTAAAAATTTATCCCAATGCACAAAATGAGATACCTCATCACCAAAAAACATAAGACCCTAAGAAATCTTTATATAGTTTAACCATAGAATCTTTTTTCCTTTCAGATTCAGACATTTAATGTGGATACACCATGCCAGACTGTGGAAGATTTAACGAATGGGGTTGTGATGGCCCAGGTTCTTCAAAAGATGTGAGAATAAATTGCTTAATTTTATATGTCCTTAAACATAGATATCGTTAGATGAAAAGTACAGATTTTAAAAGTATGTTAGTTAACGTTGCATTGAAACAAAATGCTACCTTAGATCAAACTTGTGAGGAACAAGGGGTTACTTTTGGCATGCAGTCTTGGAGGCTTTAAGACTTAGCTTGTGCCATTGCTTTTGTGCCCGGGATAAGGCGACACATCACGGTAGAAAACGTGGTGAAGGAAGCTACTCACTTCATGGCAGCAGAAGGTGAAAAGAGAAAGGGACTGGGTCTCCAATATTGGTACATTCCCAGTAATCTAACTTCCACTAGGCCCTGACCCATAGAGGTTCTCCAGCTTTCAAAATGCTGTGTTCTGGACCAGGCCTTTAACACGTAGACTGTCAGCACAGTTTAGTTCTAAATTATAGCAAATTATTTACGTGTAACTTGTGTTTCTTGTAGAATAAGAATTGTAAGCAACAATGACAGTTTTGGTGGCATGTATTTGTCAGATATGGATTGACAGTTTACAAGTTTTGATTGGGGCTATAATTGTATTTTTCTTTTTTAATCAAATATTGTTACATTTTAGATATATAGCTATACATAATGATCACACATCATCATAGAAAATTTGTACCTCCACATGATAAAACTTGTTTCTTTTTTTTCCCATTGCCCTATCCTTCCTTTAAACACTCCCTTCCCCTCCCATTTACAAAAAGCCTTTTTTTCATGTTTTTCTTTTCTTTCTTTCTTTTTTTTTTTTTTTGACTTTTCCCCTCTTTCCTTTCCCTGATATACTGTTGCAATTTTGATCAAAATTGTGTTAAATCTATATAACAACTTTGAAAGCCATTTCACTATACTGGTTCTTCCTAACCAAGAGCAAGGGATATCAATCCATTTTCTGATACACTGTTCAATCTCCTTTGTGAGTGTATTATAGTTTTTAATGTAGAGGTCTTTTACTTCCTTCATTAAATTGATTCTTTTTTTGATTGCTGTGGTGAAAGGTGTTGTTTCCCAAATTTGTTTGTCAACAAATTTGTTATTTGTATACAGGAAGGCTGTTTTTTTTTTTGTTTTTTGTTTTAAGGCCATTGATTTTTGAGTGTTGACATTGTATCCAGCTACACTGCTGAATTTGGTTATTAAATCTAGAAGAAGTCTTTTGGTGTTTTCAGCTCTCCTATGTATATTATTATCTGTACATAATGATAATTTAACTTCTTGCGATAATATAACTTCTTGCTTCCTGTCTTTATTCCTTTTATTTCTTTTTCTTACCTAATTAGTGTGGCTAAAGTTTCTGAAACTATGTAGAATAAGAATGGTGACAGTGTATATTCTCATCTTGTTCCTGATTTTAGAGTAAAAGCTTTCAGTTTGTCATAGATGGTTTTTAATCAGATTAGGTAAAGACCGTCTATTCCAATTTTCTGAAAGGTTTTTATTATTATGAATGAGTGTTGCACTTTGTCAAAAGCCTTTTCAGCATCTGTTGAGATGATCATATCGTTTTTGCCCTTGGCCCTGTAAATATGGTGTATTACATTTACTGATTTACATATGTTGAACCAGCCCCTTCATTCCTGTTGAATCCTACTTGGTCATGGTATATAATCTTCATTTTGTTGCATTTTTTTTTTGTCAGTATCTCATCAAGGATTTTTACATCTATGTTCATTAGGAAGATTGGCCTATAGTTCTTTTTCTTAGTTGGGTCCTTCTCTGGTGTTGGTATCAGGATAATGCTTGCTTCCAGTAATAAATTTAGAGATATTGCTTCCCTTTCACTTCATTAAAGAGCTTGAGAAGTGATGGTATTAGGTCTTCTCTAAATTTCGTATAAAATTCAGCAGTGAGTCTGTCAGGGCCTGGGCTTCTCTTTGTTGGTAAGTTTTTATTTTTTATTTTTGGTGGTACTGGGAATTAAACTCAAGACTTTGCACTTGCCAAGCAGGTGCTGTACTGCTGAGCCATATTGCAGGCCCCTTTTAGAAGGTTTTTAATTCCACCATAAATTTCATTGATTGCTATTAGTTTATTTAGGATTTTTATATCTTGATTCAGCTTTGGTAATTCGTATGTATCTAAGAATCTGTCCATTTCATCTGTACATTTTCATTCTATTAAAATATAGATTGTGCATTTCTGCAGGATCTTTTGTGATTTCATCCTTCCCATTCCTGATTGTGGATTTGACTCTTTTTATTTTTTTCCCAAGGTTGGCTTGTTTTAGTTTTTACAGAACCAACTTTTATTTTATTTTATTTTTTACAGAACCAATTCTTGGATTCACTGATTATTTGTGTTGTTTTGGTCTCCGTTGCATTAATTTCTGCTCTGATCATAATTTCCTCTGTTGTACAAGCTTTGGGCATGGCCTCCTCTTCTCTTTTTAGAAGTTTGAGGTTCAAAATTATTTTAGCGTGCTCTGTTTACCTAATATGGGTATTTACTGATACAAATTTCCCTTGTAGGACTGCTTTCATTACATCCCATAAGATCTGGTATGTTGTATTGTCATTATTGTTTAATTGTAGAAACTTGGTTTCTTCTTTCATTTCAGCTGTGTCCCATTGGTGTTCAGGAGGATGTTACTTAATTTCCTTGAGTGTTTATGAAGTTCTTGTGATTTCTTTTCCCATTTCTAATTTCATTGGCCTGTGGTCTGATAATATGCATGGGATAATTTCAATTCCTTTGAATTTATTTATGCATGTTCTCTGAGCTAGTTGGTGTTCTCTTTTGTAGAATATTCTGTGTGTAGCTGAGAAGAATGTGTTTTCTGATGTTGAAGAGTATAATACTACAGACATCCACCAAGTCCATTTCTCCAGAAGTTTGATTTTGGCTGATTCAGACAAACACAGGCTAAGATGATAGCCACTAACGTAAAAAAACAATTTACTGCCTGTGTTGTTTGATTGACTTTGCAGGCCTAAAGCTGGTAGTCTGAGCATTTATTCAGAGTAATAATATGCAGTACAGCAACTGGGGGATTTCCTTCTGAAGGTGGTAGCCATTGTTCCCTATTATCTTGTTTTAAAGTCCTATATCATTTTGATTGTTTAGTTTTGATTTTATCCTGTTCTGTTGTGTTTGATTTTATTATGTCTGATAATATGGTCAACTATTTTGAAGACAAGAAAAGGCATTAGGTGTAGCCATTGTTGATTTCCTAGTACTTTTTTTTGAAGTTCTGTATCACTTTCACTGTTTTGTTTTGATTGGCTTTATTCTGTTTTATCTTGTTTTGTTCTCTTTAAAAAAATTGAAAATGTCTGATTTAGTTCTAACATTTCATCAATGATGTTTTTGTCTAGTTCATGTATTTGTGACAATGGGATAGTGAGGTCCTCCAATGGACTTGTTTTTCGTTTTTGTTTTTGTGCTGGGGTTGAACTCATGACCTTGCACTTGCCAGACAGGTGCTTGTGCTGCGGAGCTAAACCCTCAGCTCTCCAATGCCATTGTTTTAGTGCCCATTTGATTTTTCATGTCTGTTAATACTTGTTTTGTGTAGTGGGGTGCATTGGTATTTGTTGCATACATATTTCTTCCTTTTGGATTGTTTCCCTTTCAAGGATGTAGTGACCTTCCTTGTCTCTCTTAACCCTGTTGGCTTGAAATTCACTTTGTCTGCAAGTAGGATAGCTACCCCAGCTTTTTTCTGAGTTCCTCTTAAGTAGAGTGTTGTTTTCTATCTTTTCACTTTTGTTGTGTGAATTTGTTTTGGAATTAAATTGTTTTTTGTATGTAGCATGTTGTTGCATCTTGTGTCTTGATCCATCCTGCCAGTCTGGTTCTTTTGCTTGGTTAATTGGGACCATTAACATTGATGGTTTTAACTGATATGTATTGACTTATCTTTGTTAGTTTCCTGTTGATCCCCTTTTCTTCTCTCCCTCTGTTTATTTGTTTGACTGATGGATTCATGCTCCTTGGGTTCATAGAGTTGCAATCCTTTCTAGAGTGACTCCTAGAATGTTGTTCTAGAATGTTCTTCAGAATATTCTGGATTCCTGGTTTTATGTTCATGAATTTCCTCAGGTTTTTGTCATGAAAGTGTCTTATTGCTCCACCAATTTTGATTGCTCCATAGTTTTGTGGGTTACATAAATCTGGGTGGGTGGTTTTCTTTTAGAACTTGAAACACTTCACTCCATGCTATCCTTTTTTTTTGAGGGTTTGTGTTAAGAGGTCAGCTGTGATTTTGAAGGGTTTTCCTTCATATGTGATATGTTTCTTTTTTCTAACAGCTTTTAATATTCTGTTCTTGTGTTGTTTCTGGAATTTTAATTACTATATGCCTTGCTGTAGTTTTGTTTTGTTTTTTTAAATGATAGCTAAATGGAGTTTTGTGTGTCTCACTTATCTGTATATCAGATTCTTTTTGCCTGCAAGGCAAGTTTTCTACCTTGACATTTATGAACAGGTTTTCTTTTCTTTTTTTTTTTCATTTGTTCTATCTCTTGCTTTTCATTGACTCTAGTCAATCTTACGTTATTCTACTTTGTGTCATTAGCAGCTACTAGATTGATATGTCATCGTCCCTTGCTATTTTTAAGAATTTTTTTTAATGATCGCTAGTGCATGAGATTCTGTCCTCATATTGATTTGTCCTGCTGCAGATACTTTCAGTGGACTTTTTAGTCTTCAGGATATCTGCTTGAATCTGTTTTATGGATTCCATTTCTTTCCTGTGTTTACATTCATGATTTCTGTTACTTTCCTAAGCTCCTATTTTCATCTCTGTTTCTGCTCTAGAGTTACAAAGCATGTTTTTTGTTGTAGTCCCTATCTCTAGTTCATCTGAGAAGTTACTTATGATTTAATTTTTTTTCCTAGAGCCTCATTCATTGCTTTGTTGTTACTACTTCAGAGAGGCCGGGTGGGTAGTTTTGGATTGTCTCACCTCGCTGCCCCCTGAGTTTGCCTTTGGTGATCTGGATGTCTGGGGTTGCGTTTTAAGTGTCTTCTCATTTTCGT